CTCCATCCATCCATCCATCCATCCATCCATCCATCCATCCATCCATCCATCCATCCATCCATCTCTTCTTCTATAGTAACAGATCCAGGAGGCAAACAGAGCGTCGTCATCATCGTACCAACATGTGCAACTTGCTCATGTGACTAAACTTCTGGCCTCTGAAGGAGACGGCACAGGAGGAGCATGCTCAGCCTGTTTGTGTCTCTCACGAGGAGAGAGGAGATATTCCTCTTCCCACCAACTCTCTCCAACTCCAGGGGCATCCAAGACATTCCAAACCAGAGAGGATATACCAACACAATATAGAATTTTAAACTGAATTTAATCCCTTCAGTGAGTTCTGCTCCAGATCCAGGGTCTCCACCCAGTAGGACATGACTGGAAATACAGAGAGAGGCATTCAGGGGAGTCCTAATCAGATGCTCAAACCTCCTCAGGTTCAACTCCTTTCGATGCCAAGAAGCAGCAGCTCTACTCCCAAGACCGTCCAGATGTTATAGGTCCTCAGCTTTTCTCAAAAGCTGAACCTGGCTACGTCTGAAAGGTGGCCAAGTTCTTGCATAAATCAAGAGTTTTAGACTGGCGGTGTTTTAGAACAGCAGCAATCCACTCACAATCAGTTTGGTCAGAATTAAACTCTGTTTCTCTAAACTGGGGTTGTTCAAAAAGCCATATACAACAGATAAGATGTTGTCTGTTTATAACCTTTCCATAGACCCCCACTTCAAAAGATCTAAACTATCCCTTTAAGTACATTTTACATCTTTTACCTGGTTTTATTTATTTAATTTACACTTACACTCTGCTACGTTTTAGTGGGAAACATCCATTTTTCTACCACTCTGCATTTACTTCACAATATTAATTTGATGAGATATAAAGATCAAGACTTTTTCACACACGTTATAAATTTATTAGACATTCAAACAACCGACTGTGACCCTAAAAACAATCAAAGATAAGATTTCCTCATTAAAACTTCTACTTTTTCTGTGGATCTCCGACATGGACAGTAAAGTAGTTCAAACTAGCACCACGAGCTACAACAACAACATGCTGCTGAGTGTTCATTCTGATGATTCACAATTAATGTCACACTGAGTGAATAATGCATCAGCCTGAGGGACTGAATTGGTGCTTTCACTGCTGTATGTACTTCAATGTAGCTTGTACTTTTCTGGAGTAGATTTTATTTTCCTTTATAAAGGATGCTTATTTTGTCACAATTTATATTTTAAAAAAAATTGCAGTATCTGTACTTTTAGTGCAGTAATCAAACACGGAAAAATTAAATGATGTGCTGTTCTTTATTCGAGGCTAACTTGACGTTTTCTACTTCACAGACATATTATTCTTATGCTTTATGATCAGACTCAGTGGAGCGTCTTCATGGAGGGCAGGGATTATTTTTGAAAGACAAATCTTGAGTACCGTACATGCCGCCGTACACGTTGCACCACCGTATAAGTTGCATCAGTCCAAATATGTGTAATAAAGTGGAAAAAAAACATAAATATGTTGCTTCGCTGTATACGTCACATCTATTATGTGTCACCGCTGACTACCCAGAAATGTGGGCCGGTGTTGTGCCAAAAATTGATTGGCGGGGGGCTGCAGCTGAGCGCCGCCTGTCCCGGAGGAACCATCCGATTCACTCCGAGGGTCGGTGATAAGAGGAAAATTACAAGATGGCATTGTCCAGCGTGTAGTGACCTGTCACTGAGAAATATTCCTCGGCTCTTACCTTGAAATAAGACTGCTCGTCAGCTTCTCCTCGGGGAGGAGAGCTCACCGGACGACAGGAGGTCGACTGCCGGGCCAAGCATTCTTAGCAAAGGTTGGTCATCTACACAACTTTCCTTGTTCGTTCTTCTAACAGTGCTATTAGCTCGCTGAAGAAAAATGGGAGCCGATTTCCCGCTCTTAACGTAATTTATACGGACCGGGTGGGGCCCACACAGCAGGTGGGCGTGGACTAAATTTTTCAGTGTAATGCTCCGCATAACGGGATAAACCCACTAAGCGACAGCTCTTAAAGGGCGAAGCCTATACGAAATAGAACAATTATTTGTTTGCTTGAAATTATAGTAAAGGTGTGTCTCAGTTGAACTTTTCTTTAATAAATGCACTTTAATGATCAAATCAGCTGAATTTCAGGTGGCACAGCAAAATGCAGCTGATTTGACGTTTGTTCCAGGAGTTCCGGAGCGAGACGAAGGTGGATTTTTCTGGCAAGCCAAGTGTCTCATTAATAGCCACTTTTACCTATTAATGAGACACTTGGCTTGCCATATTAATCGACCGCCCTCTAGTGGCTGAAAATGGTAGTGTTCAATATTTTCCATGTCAAAATGAATGAAATCGTCAGATCTCAGCCAAAAATTGGATTATAAATATGGGGGGAATACATCACTTCACAGTATAAAGCCCCCAGTATACTACGCACGTACCTCCGCAGGGCATGTCCGCGCAAAGCTCAATTTTTACGACCACACAATAAACTGCCCGGTGACAGACTGTTTTGTATGCGACACCAATGTATTAAGTTCCACTTCTTCATCCGTGATCTGGCCTTTTCTTTTTTTTTTTTTGCCAAGAGGCAAGCGATCTCTTCCTCCTCCATTGACGCCATGACTGAAATGGTGAGACATTGAGGAATTTATCACAAACTAATTAAAATCATTCCCAGCGTGGCTGCAGGAGTGTCTGGAGATTTCCTGTTGGGCTGATCTGTTGTGTGGGCTGCAGGGCCAGTGCTCCCTGTTTTTTTGTATTTTTTTTTAGAACATTTTATGAACAACATATAAACACAGAACACCGCTGCAGCTGAGACTACCAGCTCTCTCTTTTTTTATCGACCTGTCAATCAATCCAGTGGGTGTGTCAGCAAAGGACCAATCGGTGACCTCTATTTGTCCCGAAGGTAAATGCCCCTTGTCTGTGGAGCTGCTCTGCAGCCGCTCAGGATGTACGCTCAAGTATGAAGTCTCAACCCTCCGTGTACGTACGCACGTACCTCCGCGCAGACATACGTACGCGGGAGTATACTGGGAGCTTTAGTCGCAGGCATGCTAATTTATGCAAAAAAAACCTGTGACTTATTCAGCGAAAAATACGGTATAATTTTCCCAGATTTTACACATAGTCTATAGAGCAGAGGTGCAGAGTGTTTGTTAAAGCCCACCTATTAAAAATGGCTGCAGTTATACAAATAATAAAGTACAGAGGAAGAGCCGACCTGGGTTGCACTCACTTTATGTGTTGGGGGCGATGCTCAGCTACTACCACATCAAATTTTAGCTCATTCTCTGTAAGACTGGTTGAGTTATAGCTTTTTTGTTGTTATTTGTTTTCTAAGGTCTTAAAAGGTCTCAAGTTAATCTGCTGATTACCGTACTTCTCGAAAGTCTCATTAAAAGCTGTTCAGTGGCTCTTAAAATATTTTGCTAACACAGAGACACGGTTAATTTTAAGGAACTTTTGTGATCTGCTGGAGCTCAGAGTACATGTTTGTGGCCAGTCTCGGCTACTACCGTTCTAAATTTGAGCTCAATGTTTGTAAAATTACTTGAATTGTTTGTGTTGGCCAAGAGTTCTTTGTTGAAATCAGGTCTCTCTTGTAAATGAGTCCTCGAGGCTCAATGGGATTTACCTGTCTAAATAAAGGTTGATTGATTGAGTGCTTTGCTGTGGTGGCCATTTTGAATTGAGCTGACTCCAAGGTTAATCTGTTGGAAGTGTAGTGGAGAGTTTTATTCACCATGCAGCCTTCATGGGCTTCCTTTTAATTAAATAAAATGTCTGTGTAAGAGAAACGGCATGGATCAGAACTTTGTTTGATCAAATTTATAGAAGGCTTGAGTTACTCTGGACCAGGGGTCTGCAACCTGTGGCTCTGGGGCCACATGTGGCTCCTTGGACACTTTGCATTGTCTCTGAAGCTTTGACCAAAACTAATATGAAACTGACAAAACAAAAGGGCTCGTTTTGACAAATTTCCGGCCAACTATTTTACAAAAATGGAAAAGACAGCACTCACAAAAGGAGTAAAACATGTTAAAAGTGTTTAACGATTGATTTTTGTATTTAAAAATCAATTACAGCAAACTGCATAAAATGAGAACTCACAAAGGCATGTTTTATTTGTCATCAAAATTTGGAACAACTGTGTACATAATTGTCCTTTTTTATTTATATAAATGGTATTTTCTTTTGTCTTAAAATGTAAAAAACATCAATAAATGTTAACGATCATTAGATATTGTTAGTTTTATAATGTCACGTCTACTGGCCAGAAAGCCTCCTCCAAAAAACTTGAAGTCCACGGGCCACCACTGTGGCAGGGTTTGTGTCTCTGAACACATTTTATTCTCCCCCGTCACAGAGCAAAGAGGAGAAATTGGAAATACCATCCATCCGTCCGTTCATCCATCTGTTGAGGCTGGAGGAAAAAGAGGCTTCAGCTCTTTCCTCCAGCCTCAACATTGAAGTTTACAGCAAACCCACTCACACAGATCAGAACCTTCTGTTTGACACTGGAACACAAACTTTCTCTCGTCAGAACTTTACACCACCGGGCCGAACATGTCCCCACAATGATAGTAAAAAAGGAACAGGAACACATCCAAAAAATCTCTCCAAACTTGTGGATATCCCAACCGGGCCGTTGTCAAATCAGCAAACAAATCCAAAAAACACGCTGCAAATGCAAAAGCATTGTCGTCCCATATGTAGCTGGAGTATGTGGAAAACTCAAAAGGATTTTCTCCAAACACAACATCCTGGTGCATTTTAAACCCAACAGGACCTTCAGACAGAAGCTGGTCCATAAGAACAGAACCCCCAAACCCAAACAGAGCAGTGTGTCTGCAGGAATGTTCTGACCTCTAAACGACCTCTCCACAGACGCATGGCTCAGCACCAGAGATTTACCTCTTCAGCGGTCCGTCTACATCTTAAGGATAAGGGACACTGCTGAGGACCACCAGGTCCAGATGTTGGACAGAGAAGACAGATGCTTTGAGAGGGGGGTGAAGGAGGCCATTTACGTCAAATGAGAAAAAAAAAAACATCTTTAAACCAGAGAGGAGGTCTCAGATTTGAACTTTCAAAAACACATAATGCAAATTTAGGCCTGATTCCAGGTCAGCTCCACTCCAATCCACACCTTCATGCAGGTGACCCAAACATCAGTCTGTGAGCCAGACACACAAAGATCCTGACGAGCCTCCAATGAGTGGGGCGAGTAGTTCCAGTCTAGTCTGCATGTGAGTATTTAACCAGGCCTCTCGTGCAGTTTTATAAAACTTGGAACTCCACACACTCCAAACATTTTAGAACTGATAAAGTCGACCGGATGGGAAGCAAAACGTCTTCAGCTTCACAATACAAGTCCAGTTTATTTATTTATTTTACTTTTTTTACTTTTTGGGAGATATATCATGACCTGGATGACTGAGGATCTTCAAATCTTCAAACGCTCACTATTTAAATCCCTCAGCGACGGAGCACAACAGTGTACTGCTTGTTTAGAGAGCAAAGAGGCGGAAATGACTCTTTTGGTCATAAAAGTTGAAGACCCCTGCCCTGGACCATCGCTTTAGTTACGCTACTGTTGAAGAGCATGATGCACCTCTTCATTGTTGTTTTTATTCCATTTACTGTCCGCTATTTGTCAATTTTTTGCTTTTCTGCCAAGTGGCCCAGTGTCCCTTTTGTGTCCATCTGGTGAAGGCACACTCCTGAGTCTGCTGAATTAATTGTAGACATTGCTGCAAAATAAACCAGGAATTACTCACCATAGTTGTTTCTGTGATGGATCCAAAGCTGTTGATGAAGATGTTGCAGGTGACGTTGACCGGAGGGCCTGACAGAAGCAAACCGTCATGAAACATCACAATAATACCAATTTCCTTTAAAATTAGACTTCCCAAACCACTGACCCCGGCAAGGAGCAGAGCTTTTCTGTGGATCTGCTTCCTCCCTTCATACCGTGTTGTGTCTCGATTCGCTAACACGTCCAAGATAGTCAGAATAACGTTGCGTTGTCATTTCTAGCTCCCATTGGTGCAAGTCATCTGTTAGACCATTAAAGACTTAAATGTTTCACCGAGTCATTTCCAAACCTAATTATTTATTGAGCCTTCTTTAGTTAAGTTAATGTATTTGTAGAAAATCAGCTGGGATTCACCCCAGCTTGCAGTGACTGACAAGGATGTGGAGCAAGGATGAAATAAATATGAAATGTGACCGCAGAGGCTGAGGGTGAAGTCTGTCAGAGAGAATTTGCTGGCTTCACTCACAAGTGAGGCTCAAGATTGGACTGAAATAGGCCTGTGGGGTAACATGCCTTGGTGATTGCACTTTTCTGTCAGTATAAAATCTAATAGATTTTTTTTTTCTTCAAAAGCCCAAAGGCTGTAGGTCAATATAAAACCATAAGATTTTCTGGTACCACTTTACAATACAGCTCCCCTCATAGATGGCAAAAAAATAATTAATAGATACGTTATTAATTTCTCTATAATGTAGTGGACTAGGCCTGATGTAAAAACTGACCAGATGGACAGAAACTGTCATTTCATTGATTTGAATCCAGAAATACAGTTTGACCCATCCTGAGACTTTCTTTTTTGAATTAATCAAGTGGAAAAGACAATTCTCTATGATCATTACTATTTTACAAATGTTTGATAATCAAATTGTGTTAGTTCAAACAATGTTTACATGTTGAAGTGAACTACTCATTTTTATTTACTTAAACAGTAGTAATGATTTTTAGTCCTCAATTCAAAGTGAAATAAAGTTAGAATACGTTACAGAGTAATGATTCAATTTTTGATCGTCTGCTTTGAAGGGAGCAAATTTGTAAGTGTGTTAGAGTTCAGGTTTCGGTCAACTAAAAAGTTTACTGAAAAGAAATGTCATGTTTAACTTTTACAGCAAGATACCTGAGTAGAGACGCCACTAAGACTGGTTTTCTCCAACAATCTTTCTGTCTGTTCTTAAACAATCTTAATCTCTATCCTTGACTTTCCATAACACCTTACATCACAAACCACACCTCTGTTGGGGTCCATCGACCAATCAGAGGCTCTCAAACGAACCGGAAGTAGAGCCCATTTAAATATCGGCACTTCCTAGTTCAAGAGAGAGCAGATGAGGAGAGGAGTTCAGGAGTTTTGGAATCCAGAATGCAGAGAGTTTGGGAGTTCCTGAATGCAGAACGCGGGCATTCATGGATGCTGCTAAACCAATCAAGCTGAACCAGAGACGATTTTGGGAATTATAACTTCTGTTTGGATAACCTCGCACGACTCTCGAGGTATTTGGCTGTTCTCACTGAGACGCTGAACAGTGGTTGGAAGTGAGACTCCACGCCGGAACTGATCTATCTTCAGAAAAGGTAAAAGTCGACCTTCGCCAAAAGTGTACTGTTGGGACAAGCTGATTTCCGAAGGAGCGTGCACGTTCTGGTTAAAACAGACAAATTCCCTCACACATCTCTCTGTAAGATAAATCTCAATTTTCCATCTTTAAACTCTCCTTTCTGCTAGAAAATTAATCCAGATGTTTTCATTAATGTCTGTGGTGAAGCAACGGAAAATCATGGCCGTATGGTTTTCCTGGTTGTAAAGCTGATTAATTATGTTGTTGTTTTCATATTCTGCCAAATTAATGTAAATGTGTGATGTGTTAAACTTGATTCTGTTAATAAATGACCCACTCGCTTGGTGAGTCAAAGATAATTAACGTCTCACGTCCACATTTCTGTTAAATTCAAAGCACGACATCATCCAGTCCAGAAAGATGAGTGAACCCGTTTAATGTATGAATATATCTCAGGATATGTCATACTACATATTGGTGGCCCGTACGGGGATCGAACCCGCGACCTTGGCGTTATCAGCACCTACAATAAACACTTTATAAATCATTAATAACTGCTTATTATGCATTAATTAATGGTGACAGAGACAAAACCGACCAGTTTCTTGCCAAATAGTGATCCAAATCTGTTCACCTATATATTTCATCTAGAGTTGTTATATTAAACATTTCAGACTAAGTTGTGAGCACAATAAGCATTTGTATACCTATTTTTTTAGGATATAATTTTTTTTAGGATATTTATTGAAAAGTGGTACCAATTTTCTTTTTAAAGACATAGTTCTCACTGACCCATCTGGGGCTGATTTATACGACTCCCGTGCAGATTTTTAAACAAAGTGAGCAGCATTTATCTTTGTTTCGAGCGGTGCTTACCTTTGAAATTGGGTCTGATGCGAGCGTCGTAGCCAGACGTGCGTCCCATCAGTTTGTCCAAGAAGTCTGATGGAGAGGGGGCCTTGGGTGTCCTGCTGGGGAGCTTCATCTCCTTACAGAGCACGGACCTGCCAGGAAATGGGTCAGCCGCACTGTAAAATGGGCTTTTGCCCGTTTGTTGGATCAGCTTATTATTAAACAGTTTAATTAGTTTGGCAGACTACTGGTGGAGGTGCTGACACAAAACATAAATTAAAATTAGATTTTTTTTAAATGGCATCCACAAGAAAACAGATTTTCTTATCAAAGTGAAATAATTTTTGTGAAAAGAGATGGGCTGAGTTTGAGCAGTCACTGAAAAGTGCATTACGGCACGAGTTAGCCATTTTGTAGTTAAATTTTATTGTAATTTTGCATCAACTATGCACAAACTGGTTTGTGTTTCAGTAAAAAATACTACATTGCTGGAAATAGACCATAATGCATTGCGGTTTGAGCCAACACAGAAGGCTAAATAAGGTTGCTAGAAGCTGGTTACTGTGATTTTCAGATATTAATTAATACCAATATCTTCAACATGTCTCCTCCTTAGTCTCTTGCGCTGAGAAATAATAAGAAAACATAACCTAATCTCATATTAAAAACATTTAGGTCCAAATATGAAATGCTGTGAAGATATGTTTGTAATTCACAGCACAAATGACTCACACCCACATTTCAAAACTTAAGCTTTTTTTAATTGCTTTAACTTCATATTAAAACTTTTAGTCTGCACAGAAATGTTTTGTAAGTGATAATAATTTATAATTATAGTATAGAAAAGGTTCTTGTATAGCTACACTTGCAGTTCGTGTTTGCGTCAAACCAAAAATACCAAATACATGTAAATGAATTTTATTTGCGCTAATTATTTTCTCAACTTAAACTGGCAAAATAATCTTGTGAAACTTGTTAATGGGTAATCGTTGTCAATGTAAATATATATATATATATATATCCCATATCCCAAAATAAACTACTACTTACTACTTGTACTGTTAATGTTTATTTAAGCAACATATGACTGTAATTACATCATTCAGGTGTGAATTAACGCTACATTAACTAAAATTAAACAGCTGTTCGGTTGAGGAAACAGCAACAAGCTGAACAAACGGAGTCAAGTAAGGTTAATTTCAGCTAATGTAGAGTTCTTCCACACCAGTTTGAACTTTGTAGTTTTTGAGATACAGTAGTCCCGCGCTACTTCGCGGTTAGTTTTTCGTGGACTTGCTCTCTCGGTTTTTCAAAGTAAAATTGGACATAACACAAAATTGGATGATTGATGGATGAGCTGCACATTGGCATGGAATTTTTATTTAAAATAAATTATTTTATTTAGCACCTGCTACACTTGCATGCAGCCCACAACTGCAGATGAAGCTTCCTTCCATTGTGTCATATCTCCATTCTGCAGCGAAGTGGGCGTGGCCGAGAGTGCTGGCAAGTGGCAGATATCATGACATGCTGTGCTCTTTTAGAGCATTTAGAAATATTGTTTAGACTCTTTCAGGGATGAAGATGTTCACATCCTTGATGGAGAGGAACGATGGTTTGTGAAAAGAAATTGGACATCATTAAACAGGGGTGGAGGCCTCCGTGTCCCCCTCTTACAATGTTGTGATTGCTAGTATCACTCAACCCCCTGTGAATAGCAAGCAGCCATCAGTGTGCTAACGATCCATCGTTAGGCTGATGGTCCTCCTTGATCATGTGAGCAGCTGGTTTTGGTTGTCAGCAGCAAACTGGTTGATCCACTCTGAGAAGGTGCTATTTAAGAGACTGAGCTGAAAACAGCACCTCAGACTGAAGAAATCTTTTGAATGAAAGACGAAACGTTTCTACATTTTCTTTTTATGTCCATAGGACCAGATTGAACTTTTTTAGATTTTTCTACCTGGATTATTGAGCATGCATCAGGATATTGTTTAGAATATTGCAAGTGTGTGTGAAAGGTTTAAAACACCTATATATATATATATATATATATATATATACACATATATATATATATACACATATATATATATATA